GACGACCCGCGCCCCAGGTCTCGAGCCTGAACACCGACGACCTGAACGTGCTCACGACGGACCAGATCGCCCGCCTGACGACGGCGCAGATCTCCGCGCTGACCACCGGCCAGCTCAGCAGCCTGACCACCGACAACCTCAACGCGCTCGGGCACCGGCCAGTTCGCCACGCTGACCTCGACCCAGTTCGCGACGTTGACCACCGACCAGCTGTCGCGCCTGGAGACGGCCGACCTGCGCGCCGTCACGACCAACGCGCTGCGCGGCCTGAGCTCTGACCAGATCCAGTCCCTCACGTCCGACGAGGTCGGGTCGCTGTCCACGGCGCAAATCAGCGCACTGACCACCGGCCAGATCAAGGGCCTGGAGGCCGGCGACATGGTCGCCCTGTCCACCGGCCAGGTCGCCACGCTGTCCTCGGCTCAAGCGGCCGCCCTGTCGACCGACCAGCTCTCGGCCATCGAGGTCGGCGACATGCGCGCCATCACGACCGCCGCCCTGCGCGCGCTGTCCAGCACGCCAGCTGGACGGCCTCACGAGCGACCAGCTCCGCGCGCTCAGCTCCGGCCAGATCCAGGCGCTGACCACCGCCCAGGTCAGCACGCTGAACACCGACGACCTCAACGCCCTGGCTTCCGACCAGTTCAACAAGCTCACCACCGGCCAGATCCAGTCGCTCACCACCGGCCAGCTCAGCGCGCTGAACACCGACAGCCTCAACGCGCTGGGCACCGGCCAGTTCGCCACGCTGTCCTCCGCCCAGTTCGCGGCGCTGACGACCGACCAGCTCTCGCGCCTGGAAACCGCCGACCTGCGCGCCGTCACGACCAACGCGCTGCGTGGCCTGTCGTCGGATCAGGTGCAGTCGCTGACCTCGGATGAGGTCGGGTCGCTCTCGACCGGCCAGATCGCCGCCCTGTCCACCGCCCAGCTCAAGGGCCTGGAGACGGCCGACATGGTGGCGCTCACCAGCGCCCAGGTCGCCACGCTGAACTCCGCCCAGCTCGCCTCGCTGTCCACCGACCAGCTCGCCGCCATCGAGGCGCCGACATCAAGTCGATCACGACCGCCGCGCTGCGCGCCCTGTCCAGCGCCCAGATCGATGCGCTGACCAGCGACCAGCTGCGTGCCCTGTCCAGCGCCCAGCTCAACGCGCTGACCACCAACCCGCAGGTCATCGGGCTGACCACGGACGACCTGAACGTGCTGACCACGGACCAGATCGCCCGCCTGTCCACCTCGCAGATCCAGGCGCTCACCACCGGCCAGCTCAGCAGCCTGACCACCGACAACCTCAACGCGCTGGGCACCGGCCAGTTCGCCACGCTGTCGTCCACCCAGTTCGGTGCGCTGACCACCGACCAGCTCGCCAAGCTGGAGACGGCCGACCTGCGTGCCGTCACGACCAATGCGCTGCGCGGCCTGAGCTCCGACCAGGTCCAGTCGCTCACCTCCGATGAGGTGGCGAGCCTGTCCACCGCCCAGATCACGACGCTGACCACGCTGCAGGTCAAGGGCCTGGATGCCGTGGACCTGACGGCCATGACCTCGGCGCAGATTGCCGCACTGACCTCGGCGCAAGCCGCGGCGCTGTCCACCGACCAGCTCTCGGCCATCGACGCCGCCGACATGCGTGCGCTGACCACGGCCGCGCTGCGCGCGCTGTCCAGCACCCAGCTGGACGGCCTGACCAGCGACCAGCTCCGTGCGCTGTCCAGCAGCCAGATCGTGTCGCTGACCACCTCCCAGGTGGCCACGCTGAACACCGATGACCTCAATGCGCTGGCCACCGACCAGATCAACAAGCTGACCACGGCGCAGGTCTCGGTGCTCACCACCGAGCAGCTGAACCACCTGACGACGGAAAGCCTGAACGCGCTGGGCACCGGCCAGTTCGCCACGCTGACCTCGGCCCAGTTCGCCGCGCTGACGACCGACCAGCTGTCCCGCCTGGAGACCGCCGACCTGCGCGCCGTCACGACCGCCGCGCTGCGCGGCCTGTCGTCGGATCAGATCCAGTCCCTCACCTCGGATGAGGTGGGGTCGCTGTCGACCGCCCAGATCAGCGCGCTGACCACCGGCCAGCTGCAGGGCCTGACCACGGCCGACATGGTGGCACTGACCACGGGCCAGATCGCCGTCATGAGCTCCGCGCAGGCGGCATCGCTGTCGACCGACCAGCTCGCCGCCATCGAGCGCCCGACATCAAGTCGCTGACGACGGCCGCCCTGCGCGCGCTGTCCAGCGCCCAGATCGACGCCCTGACGAGCGACCAGCTCCGCTCGCTGACCAGCAGCCAGATCGTCGCGCTGACGACCGCGCCCCAGGTCTCGAGCCTGAACACCGACGACCTGAACGTGTTCACGACGGACCAGATCGCCCGCCTGACGACGGCGCAGATCTCCGCGCTGACCACCGGCCAG